CAAATTATCTTGGTCACATGCGCCGAATACAACAGGTGTAGACCTTACAGTGAAATGCTAACTTGCAAGCCCTTAACCAACAATGCAGTTTTAAGAAAGAATACCAACAAAACCCACAAAAAAATACCTATTGTGAGGCTATATACAGGGGGTACCGGTACCGAGTCAATGTGCGGGGGCACCGGTTAGTCAAGGTAATTGGGGTAGAGTTATTAAAGTGAATATGCATAGATAATAAACAGAGTAGCAGCAGCGTAAAAGGGGTGGGGGGGCAATGCAAATGGTCTGGGTAGCCATTTGACTAGATGTTCAGGAGTCTTATTGCTTGGGGGTAGAAGCTGTTTAGAAGCCTCTTGGACCTAGACTTGGCGCTCTGGTACCGCTTGCCGTGCAGTAGCAGCGAGAACAGTCTATGACTAGGGTGGCTGGAGTCTTTGACAACTTTTAGGGCCTTCCTCTAACACTGCCTGGTATAGTCCTGGATGGCAGGAAGCTTGGCCCCAGTGATGTACTGGGCCGTACGCACTACTGTCTGTAGTGCCTTGCGGGCGGAGGCCGAGCAGTTGCCATACCAGGCGGTGATGCAACCAGTCAGGATGCTCTCGATGGTGCTGCTGTAGAACCTTTTGAGGACCCATGCCAAATCTTTTCAGTCTCCTGAGGGGGAATAGGTTTTGTCATGCCCTCTTCACGACTGTCTTGGTGTGCTTGGACCATGTAAGTTTGTTGGTGATGTGGACACCAAGGAACTTGAAGCTCTCAACCTGCTCCACTACAGCCCCGTCGATGAGAATGGGGGCGTGCTCGTTCCTCTTCTTTTTCCTGTTGTCCACAATCATCTTACTTTACCTCCTGGGGGCGGCCCGTCAGGAAGTTCAGGATCCAGTTGCAGAGGGAGGTGTTTAATCCCATGGTCCTTAGCTTAGTGAAGAGCTTTGAGGGCACTATGGTGTTGAATGCTGAGTTGTAGTCAATGAATAGCATTTTCACATAGGTGTTCCTTTTGTCCAGGTGTGAAAGGGCAGTATGGAGTGCAATAGAGATTGCATCATCTGTGGATCTGTTGGGGCGATATGCAAACTGGAGTGGGTCTATCTAGGGTTTCTCGAATAATGGTGTTGATGTGAGCCATGACCAACCTTTCAAAGCACTTCATGGCTACAGACGTGAGTGCTACGGGTCGGTAGTCATTTAGGCAGGTTACCTTAGTGTTCTTGGGCACAGGGACTATGGTGGTCTGCTTGAAACATGTTGGTATTACAGACTTAGACAGGAAGAGGTTGAAAATGTCAGTGAAGACACTTGCCAGTTGATCAGCGCATGCTCGGAGTACACATCCTGGTAATCCGTCTGGCCCTGCGGCCTTGTGAATGTTGACCTGTTTAAAGGTCTAACTCACATCGGCTACAGAGAGCGTGATCACACAGTCATCTGGAACAGCTGATGCTCTCATGCATGTTACTTGCCTCGAAGCGAGCATAGCAGTCATTTAGCTCGTCTGGTAGGCTTGTCACTGGGCAGCTCGAGGCTGTGCTTCCCTTTGTTGTCTGTAATAGTTTGCAAGCCCTGTCACATCCGACGAGCGTCGGAGCCGGTGTAGTACGATTCGATCTTAGTCCTGTATTGACGCTTTGCCTGTTTGATGGTTCGTCGGAGGGCATAGCGGGATTTCTTATAAGCTTCCGGGTTAGAGTCCCGCTCCTTGAAAGCGGCAGCTCTACCCTTTAGCTCAGTGCGGATGTTGCCTGTAATCCATGACTTCTGGTTGGGGTATGTACGTACAGTCACTGTGGGGACGACGTCATCGATGCACTTATTGATAAAGCCAGTGACTGATGTGGTGTACTCATCAATGCCATTGGAATATGTTCCGGTATTCTTCCGGTCTATGCTAGCAAAAGTCCTGTACCTTAGCATCTGCTTCATCTGACCACTTTCTTATTGACCGAGTCACTTGTGCTTCCTGCTTTAGTTTTTGCTTCTAAGCAGGAATCAGGAGGATCAAATTATGGTCAAATTTTCCAAATGGAGGACGAGGGAGAGCTTTGTACGCGTCTCTGTGTGTGGAGTAGTTTAAGTTTCCCTGCATTAAAGTCCCCGGCCACTAGGAGCGCCACCTCTGGATGAGCATTTTCCTGTTTGCTTATGGCCGTATACAGTTCATTGAGTGCGGTCTTAGTGCCAGCGTCGGTTTGTGGTGGTAAATAGACAGCTACGAAGAATATAGATGACAACTCTCTTGGTAGATAGTGTGGGCTACAGCTTATCATGAGATCCTCTACCTCAGGCAAGCAAAACCTCGAGACTTCCTTAGATATCGTGCACCAGCTGTTGTTTACAAATATACATAGACCGCCACCCCTTGTCTTACCAGAGGCTGCTGTTCTATCCTGCCAATACAGTGTATAACCCGCCAGCTGTATGTTATTCATGTCATCGTTCAGCCACGACTCGTTGAAACTTAAGATATTACAGTTTTTAATGTCCCGTTGGTAGGATATTCATGCCTGTAGTTCGTCCATTTTATTATCAAGCGATTGTAAATTGGCCAATAGTATCGATAGCAAAGGCAGATTAGCCACTCGTCGCCGGCTCCTTACCAAGATCCCTGATCTTCTTCCGCGATATCTCCTTTTCTTTCTACTGCGAATGACGGGGATGAGGGCCCTGTCGGGTGTCTGGAGCAAATCCCTATCGTCCAACTCATAAAATAAAAATTATTTGTCCAGTTCAAGGTGAGTAATCGCTGTTCTGATGTCCAGAAGCTCTTTTCAGTCATAAGAGACGGTAGCAGCAACATTATGTACAAAATAAGTTACAAACAATGCAGAAAAAACATAAAATAGCACGGTTGGTTAAGAGTCCATAAAACGGCAGCCATCCCATCCGGCGCCATCACAAGAATCGACCATGAAGGCCTGATTCACACAGTCTCCTCTGAACATTTGATGTTGAGATGTGTCTGTTACTTGAACTCTGAAGCATTTATTTGGGCTGCAATTTATGAGGCTGGTAACTCTAATGAATTTATCCTCTGCAGCAGAGAACTCTGGGTCTTCCTTTCCTGTGGCGGTCCTCGTGAGAGCCAGTTTCATCATAGCGCTTGATGGTTTTTGCGACTACACTTGAAGAAACTTTCAAAGTTCATGACATTTTCCGTATTGACTGACCTTCATGTCTTAAAGTAATGATGGACTGTTTCTATTTGCTTATTTGAGCTGTTCTTGCCATAATATGGACTTAGCCCTATTTGGTAAAAGACAATCTTCTGTATACCCCCCCTACCTTGTCACAACACAACTGATTGGCTCAAACGCATTAAGTTCCACAAATTAACTTTGAAGAAGGCACACCTGTTAATTGAAATGCATTCCAGGTGACTACCTCATGAAGCTGGTTGAGAGAATGCCAAGAGTGTGCAAAGCTGTCAAGGCAAAGGGTGGCTATTTGAAGAATCTCAAATAAAATATATTTAGATTTTTTGAACACTACATGATTCCATGTGTTATTTCATAGTTTTGATGTCTTCACTATTATTCTACAATGTAGAAAATAGTAAAAATAAAGAAACCCTTGAAGGAGTGAGTAGGTGTTCTAAAACTTATGACCGGTAGCGTACCATACGACACGTAACATATCATACTAAAAGGAGTATTTTGGGTTTACATTGGATATACTTACAGAATAATACGAAATAATGAGATCATGTTGCAGCAGCGTGTAGTCAAAATAAAAAAATGCTTGCCAACTTGGTTAACTGCACGATTAAATGAGTCAGTTTTCAACAAATCAACTGTTTTAGACTATTGTATTTTAACCAAGCAAAATAAATAAACGTGCAATCACTACTGAGTGAATTAACTAAAACAATTTGGAACGAATGCTTCCAGATTTTTAAATGGTCTGTCGAAGTCAGTGTTGAGAACGGGATCCAGTGTAATGGTTAGAGTTCCCACCTGTGGATCAGAACATTGCAGGATCGCCTCCTGGAGGAGATGTTTTGACCATTCTTTCGTCAAAAGTTTTGACAGCCCCCTCCCGACACACACATTTATTTTAATTTATTAGGTGGCTCTCATAAGAGCCTTTGGGTTCGTGGAGTGGCAGTGAGTGTGGCGTGTGTACTGTGTGTGTCTTGCTAGAACGGAGGAGAGACCAGCTCTCAAGGCCTTGATACATTGGACATTTTTTAGGCAATGTTGCTGGCAACTGAATGGGATATGAGACACTTGAGCAATTAGCACATGGACATGAATAATAGATTTCATATGACGCATAAATTAACTTAACTAAATGTCCCCATTTATTTACTAATCGCCTATAGCTTGTTGTTGCCTGCCACATCTGTACTGGAATGTATTACCTAACAGACAAGCAACAGAGGTCTTACTGCTGCCCTGGGCATCCACTCTACCTACTGCCAGTCAAGTCAATGGCAATGCAGACAAAAGGATATCTAGATTTAGAAAACGTTTTACTTCACAATTCTAAACAAGGAAGTGTAAAGCTAGCAAGCTAGTTAAACATACAAAAGACAATCTAAAACTAAAATGTACAATCTACATGGCTGGCTAGCTAGCGAATTAGCCTGTTTGTCCCATTGACTTAGCATGGGTTGCAGTTAGCATGCTAAATCAATTACATTTGTGGCAGTTAAACATGAGAATCTGAACACAGTATGTCTGTATTAACGTATCATTACAAAATATTGTAGTGGAGCAACATATGAGAGGTGAATGGTCAACATTTCAATTCAACATGGGAGTTTTTTTTTTTTCTTGCCTCAGCACAGCCATGTTTTCCTAAATACTTTGGAATAGCAGACCAATATCTGCCCTCTGATTGGAGGATTCCTACAAATAGCCTACTAGGTGGAACTGACCAACGATGTAAATTCATTTACAGATGTACCTGTTTTTCAATGCTCACTTCTTTTTGAGGTGAAACATGAGTCCTAGAATTGGGAATAATTCATAGAATTGTGAATTCTGTGGTGTTCCAGGATTTCATGATGCAGCAGACCATGCTGAGGGTGAAGGATCCGGTGAAATCCCTGGACTTCTATACCCGGATCATGGGAATGACGTGAGTGCCAACCATATCCCCACCAATGTTATGTGTCTGGTCATTGGATCACAAGAAATACAGTACCTCTGCTCTCTCAAATAAAATGTTAACTAGATGAATTTTATGTAAAAGCCAAAGTAAATTGATTTAGGACGAACAGTTATAAAAATAGAACGAGCTGGAGGCACTTATTTAGTAAACAATTACTTAATAAAGTGAGTTATTTTGGGCAAAATGCTACGATAAACTAGCTTTGGTACCTGACTGGTCCTGCACTCAGCAATGCTACATTGGTCTTGGAATGACGATGACAAGTTGGTTAAAGCATTAACCTCTACGGGATCGGTGTCCCGTATACGGGACGGTTGAGCTAACGTGCGCTAATGTGATTAGCATGACTGTTGTAAGTAACAGCAAACTTTCCAGGACATAGACATGTCTTTATATGGGCAGAAAGCTTACATTCTTGTTAATCTAACTGCACTGTCCAATTTACAGTAGCTATTACAGTGAAGAAATACCATGCTATTGTTTGAGGAGAGTGCACAACAACAAAACATTTATCACAGCAACTGGTTTGATACATTCACCTCTGAAGGTAAATAATGTACTTACATTCAGTAATCTTGCTCTGATTTGTCATCCTAAGGGTCCCAGAGATAAAATGTAGCATAGTTTTGTTTGACAAAATCCATTTTTATGGAGTCTCTGGCTCCACACCCACCCTGCCCGGCCATCTAGATGTGTGAAAGTTAGTGTATAAGCTAATGATCCATCATGTATTACATTACTGGGAGTGTGTAAACTTACATTTTGTATTACCATATAATTTTTGTATGTTCTCTATAGTAATGTACTTGAAAATGTATCAATTGACCAATTCGGCACGTTTGGGCAAGACTTGATACAAACTTTGCACATACACTGCTTCCATCTAGTGGCCAAAATCTAAATTGCGCCTAAACTGCAATATTATATTGTGGCCTTTCTCTTGCATTTCACAGATGATGGAACAAAAAAAATTAAATGCATGTTTTTTTGTTTGTATTATCTTTTACCAGATCTAATGTGTTATATTCTCCTACATTAATTTCACATTTCCACAAACTTCAAAGTGTTTCCTTTCAAATGGTATCAAGAATATGCATATCCTTGCTTCAGGTCCTGAGCTACAGGCAGTTAGATTTGGGTATGTCATTTTAGGCAAAAATTGAAAAAAAGGGTCAGATCCTTAAGAGGTTAAACAAATGGCATAACCCTGAAACCAGCCTGAACTCTGAGCTCAACACGTATTGAGCGCAGCTGTCAGGCTGGTTCATGAGGCTACCTACTGGCACCCACGCTGACAATAAGCAAATGGTAAAACACTACAATCCTCCTGACGCATCAGTATAGAGCAGATACTTAGCAACATTTATTTTGCTCAGTCTGTCATTTTCCAATATATAGTGCTCTTTTCTCCTCAAATGCAGTCATTCAACATGGGTACCTTTTGTCTCTTCCCTCAGGTTACTGCAAAAGTTTGACTTCCCCTCCATGCGCTTCTCCCTTTACTTCCTGGGTTACGAGGACAAGAAGGAGATCCCTGGCGACGTGAAAGAAAGAACGGCCTGGACCTTCTCCAGACGAGCCACCATTGAGCTCACCCAGTAAGGCCGCTTTGGATTTTGGGCGATAGGCATTAAATCGCAAAAGCACTCCTCACTATTCACAAGAGGCTTGGGCATGATCAGAAGGTTTATGATAGGGGACTCTTACTCCAGTCCTAGAGAGGGACTACAGGATGTGCAGGGCAGGGTTTCATTTTAGCAAAGAACCACAAACCATAAAAATACCACAGGCTGATGATCGCGGTTCAGAACGAAGACAATCATAAGTTGATTCCTTGAAATGGTTTTGTTAGTGCTGGCATGGTGCGAATTACGGAGGAGCCAGGGGGGCTCAGCTCCCCTGAATGAGACGTTGGCTCCCCTAAATGCAACAAAAGTCCAACTTTGAGGGGTCTCTAAATAATGCCAATTTAACCATTTATCCTATTTGTTTAAAATGCAGTGGTAAATATGAAAATGAAATGAACACCCCCACCTCTGTTATGGTTTAAACCATTTATGTATGTGGTGGCACTGTCCATTCAGTAGTGCTGAATATTTTGCCTCAGCTGAGCTCCTTCGCATAGATTTTCCTCATTTGCTATGCATCCTTGATAAAAAATGGCCTTCATTCCAATGTATTCGATGCATCTGTTGATTTATCATTGTTTGCTTTTTTAAGTCAGCTGTTTATAGCGCTCATTGCTTTGTTTTTCAGGTGCGCGCGGGTAAAAAAATTGTTTTACTGGATTACCTGATAATTATTGACAATATTACTAGACAACTAGCCTACAGCTAGACACCAATGCACATCCAATCCATCCAACAAGTATACGTTAATGACAGTAGGCCAATAGTTGACTCTTTCAGTTAGAAGCATTCAATTTTACAATGGCATACATTATTTTGGATTTGTGTGCCCATGAGAACTGTTTTTACGGCAAAACATAATGTATTGTTACGTAGGTATAGTTACACTTACAGTGCTTTTTCCGTGATCTCCAAGATATCTGATTCGTACAGGGTTTAAGTTCAATGTTCTAATTAAATTGCTAAATGCTTAATAATGACAAATGACACTGTCATTAATATAAGGAAAGAAATGTAGTGTTATGTCACACGATCTGTGAAGACTCCAAGCATTAACTCATTAATTATGGACAACTCATGAACGAGGGTGTAAAACATGCTTTGATTCAACTCATGTATCATATTGAATGTAGGCTACCTATTCTGCATGTTCGTGTTTAATTTACCCACCCTTTAAAAAATTTTTTTTTTTTAAAGCATAGGGAGTGTTACTTTTTCACCGTGAGCGGCAATTAGTTTACCCACTTAATTTAAAAAATACACTGGCTACCGGTAGGCCTATTTGAAGTTCACGGTAATACACATTGTAGCCTAGCGTAATAAATTGACCTTGTGTGTTTAGGGTGACCATACTGTTTTTCCCGGGACAGTTTCAGCCCCCTTTCAGGTGTCCCAACTTATCAGGCTACAAAAAATGTCAATTTGTCAGCCAGACACACATGTCTATTTTGTAACAGATGTCTATTTCCATTCATCAAATGGCGTGAGTAGACATGCAGTTTGGATGCTGGAATTATTTTGGAATGGACGAACATGCCTACTTTTTGAAGTTATTTGTTTGACAATCAGATACATGTCTTGACGGGTTGTGTTCATGCCACATTAAAATGTCATTTATTTTTGTGTTCTTACATTCCTGTAATTGATCAATAAAGTTGTATTGAATTATTTTTTCTGTTCCTCCTAGTAACTGGGGCTCTGAGAGTGATGATAGCCAGTCTTACCACAACGGCAACTCGGACCCTCGTGGCTTTGGTGAGTCTGTACTCTACACTGAAGCTCAGTAATCATCCCCCGCTTTACATAAAGTCTGCTGGAATAATCCATTATTTGTCAGTTATATTGCATTGTAAGACTTCACATTGACATGTTTGACCCACTTTTTTCTTATTGTATATCTGTAAGACATTAAACTTTAAAGGCCCATGCATGCTTATAAAAAGTTATAAAGCATTATATCTGCAAGCTTCCTTGTTACCCACCCTGCCATTTATATATGTTTTGGCTTGTTATTCATCCCAATGGATAAAGTCTTTGTTCAAGACTTGGAGAACAGCTGGGGGTATTTCTGAAAGTCGTTGAATTGAGTTGATTGAATAACCGCATAAGTGACGTAAACTAGTTAGTCAGCAATGTCTTATGTTCTCTCTCACTCATCATAGGGCACATTGGAATTGCGGTGCCTGACGTCTATGCTGCCTGCAAGCTGTTTGAAGAGCAAGCAGTCACCTTTGTCAAGAAGCCCGATGATGGTAAGAGTAGCCCCACAGTACTACTCATCCTTGGCTTTTCTGTAAGCAATATCCGGGTGTGTGTGAAACATTTGCCTGGTTTCATTGAAAAATATTTATGCCAGATGCATAAACAACAACTCTTGAGGATTGTTGTGCTAGCTAAGCTGCTGGTATTCTCAATGGTGTTAGTGTTCATAGCTTAGCATGTTGCCAAACAGGTGAGGGAATCACCATTTAAGTGTCATTTTATATTTGTCTAGAGTTCTCTGTACAGTCATACTCTGTCATGTCAGGTAGTTAAAACATCAGATTGGGCTACATGTAAACATTACTAGAACTGTCTTATTTAAATTGGCAACATGATAGATACTTTTATGTGAAATCAATGGAGGCACTTGGAGGCAGTTTTGGTCAATAACATTACCACTTCATGGCCACATTGAGGGCACGTGATTTCTTATTCAACATGTCAGAGAGGCATGTTTGTTCTACATGACATATCAACGTTCACAACGTTGTGCCTTGCTGAACGTGGCCCAGGTGTTACTGTTGGCGGGTATGACTAACACCTTTTTAATGTGTATCGCTTCAGTCACAGGGAAATCCATCAGCCTTGTGTTTGTATGGTTATTTATGTGTGAAACTAGGCAGAGAAAGACAATGTCCATTTACTGGAGCTTACAAGAAAAGTTATTTATTGTAAATTCAATAAAGTAAATGGACAATGCAATTATTCTATAAATAACTTTTCTTAGATGCAACAATTAGTTCATTTAGGATATTTCTTCCTCTGGAAATATTTTCATTCAGCTCGTGTGCTCTTTGGATGTTTATTCTACTCTTGCTCCAATGTGTATCCTGACATAGAAATGCTCCTGATCATATTATCTCATGGTGTTGTCTTCTACACTACTCCATTCTCTTCTCTCTCTTTACCCCTCTATCGCCCTCTACTCTGCTCTTCTCTCAGGTAAAATGAAGGGGCTAGCATTTGTACAGGACCCTGATGGCTACTGGATCGAGATTCTCAGCCCCAACAACATGGTCTCCATCACCTCTTAAAGAGGCAACAAGGGTTCCCTCCCGACGGGATACAGTGCCGTGGCGTCATTTGGGATGTAGATTTTGCCAACAATTTAGGAAAACCAACCCAGTTCCACAAAGGATACTTATGGGAGTAGCAGTGACGGGGACAGAAGGACAAGGCTCACTTTTCTATTGTCATGAGAGCTCATGGCAATGAAATGCAGCCCGGCATTGGGCAAAGGGACAATTGTAAAGAACTAGGGTTTGATTTCTCATTGAATTTAATGGCCTAGCATAGGTTCGGCTGACCTTTTGTTTGGTCTTCAGCGACGCCTAACTTAACCTTCTAATGTGCAGTAAAGCTAAATGCCACTGTTCAAAGCTACAGTTACTGTTGTCTGTTTTTCTTTAATTTAGTGGTAGTCTTGGCAGATTGGATTTCTGCTGTGGATGCCACCACCATGCTGTCTAATGATGTCATATTGTGGAGTCTACCTTTTCTGCAGACTTATACAATCAACAAACCTGTCTTTTCGGTTTTACTAGTCCTGGGCCCTGGTTTCCCAAAAGCATCTTAAGGCTAAGTTAATTGTTACAACCATAGGATCCTATGGTTCTAACGATGAACTTCGCCTTAAGATGCTTTTGGGAAACCGGGCCCAGGGGCTGTATCCACAAAGAGTCTCAGAGTAGAAAAGTTGGTTGTGAGTGCTGAGAAGAGACATTTTACTCTGGAGCAAATTAGGGTTATGTGCCTTGCTCAAGGACACATTGACAGAATTTTCACCTTGACAGTTCGGTATTCGAACCAGTGACCTTTCGGTTACTGGCCCAACACTATAACCGCTAGGCTAACTGCCGCCCTATAACCACAGGCTAATAAATTATCAAATTTATTTCGATTATTTAATTAACCTACATCATGTTATTTCAAATATCCATTTGGAGTGCAATAACATGTTAAAATATGCCTAAATTGGGCAATTAACACAGGCCTAGATGCTTTTAACTTTGATTTTGTAAGATTAATAATGTATATGCAACATTATAGTCAAGTGATCCGATGCCAACTTACCAAAGCGTGTTGATATAACTAACGGGCGCAACTTTGGTTTTAGAAGTGACAGCTTTAATATTGCAGATTGTGGCTTACATCAATGTAATTGTCTGCATCATTTCCAATCCCCCATATTTCTTTGTTAATATATTCTCCCCTAATTGGAGTAAACTAATGGACAACAACACTGAGGCTTCTACTTCCAGCTTATATATACATTTTACAGAAGTTATCTTTTGTTTGTTTTTAGTCCCATCCTTCAGCTCCACTCAACCCCTCCCATCTATCTCTGAACACCATTGCCATATTTTTTTCAACTGTGCTGTTTCACAAAAGTTCTGAATCTTTCTATTCTCAGATTCTAGTACACCCTCCATATAATTCATATCATATGCCTAATAGTACTGTAGAGCTCTTTTTACTTGCACTCAATATAGCTGGGTCACCCAGTCCTGCCCCTAGGGGTCCAAGGCCCTGTAGCGCCCCAACACACCCCACTCAGCTTTAGGATCTTAGTGAAACATTAATTATTGGTTTCAGGTGTGTTAGGCCAAGGCCAGAGCGACAACAGTACAGCAGACCCCCAGGGCCAGGACTGAGCAGCCCAGCAGCTAGGGATTGTCTGAATAGGTACAGTACCTCCCCTGACGTGCGCATGTTTTCAGTACAGACTCCTTTTGTCATACAGTATTCCATATAAGGCATCCAGAAAGACCTTATGGAAGTTGCACAGTATACCCTTAATCTTAAAACAAATCTAGTGATACTGTACATAACTTAACAGTTCTTCCATACATTGTGGGGGGATAAACAACCTTCCAATTAATGGCAATGCATCTATTAGCCACTATAAATGCTAGGTTACACAGTTTCTTCTGATAAGTCTCCAGTAGCAACATTTCCAAACAAAAACAGGGAGAAGGGAGAATCTGTAGACATGCTGAGATACTCTTTTCCAGCCTTCACAAGACCACAACATATGCAAATATGTCCCGTTTTGTTCTTTAGACCTCCAGCAGAATAATACAATGTCTGAGTGCATGATTGATTAACTGGCATTAGGTACATTCTATGGATGGTCTTAAACTGCAGTAATTTATGTCGGAGATGATATGAACGTGACTGGTCATTCTAACATATCTGTATCATCATCAATAGCGTCTCCCAGGTCTTCCTCACATTTTTGTTTTACATATTTTGTGTCATCAGGAAAAGCCTCAACACTTGATACAGTTTGGAAATCAACTTTGGAGGTTTGTCTGACTGCCTTAAAATAGCATCTGGCTTGTCCAGTGTTTGCTGGACAGAGAGAAAAGTGTTTATCTGCAAAAAATCACTTCACCTCTGTCACAGACTGGTCTTCCCTGGATGCCTGACTGCCGAGACCTCTGTCACCATCTGATCCTCCTAAAATTAGGCATGACAAATAATTACCTTGGTGTACATTTATACATGATATAATCCAAGAATATAATCAATGGTTCAATTATTGAAATGACCATAATGCCCAGATCCCAGACTGTAGCTTTAAGCTTAAACTGCTGTCCTGTAGCTACTGTAGGTCTACCCATCAATTCAAGATGGAACTTTGTATCATTCACTGAATAAACTGCAAAATTGAGCTCCGTATACTGGTCTTCCATGACTGTCTGACCCTGCGGGGACCCCTGTCACCATCTGATCCTGCGAAGACATGATGAGCATAGTGTTGTGTACTGACTGCACTAGAGGGCTGGATGCCTGCGGGACTTGCGGGTCCCGACAGAGATCATTGCGACGCGGTCTGCATTTTTCATGCTGCAGTCGGGAGCGGGCAGTCAGACAGACGATTTTGAGATGAAAATATTTTTTGTTGTCTCACAGATTATTTTTGAAACGGTCCTCTTTCTGCTTTGTATGCGTTAGCCTACCTATTGTATTAAAAGCACATTTTTTTTTGCAGTACTCACACACAGAATTCGCTGCTTCAACTGCAGTACCTCTCCTAGTTGGGCGTGAGAGTTCAAGTGTGAATAGTATGTGTGGTCTCATTGAAATAGAGTAGGCTGTCTACATGGGCGGAGAATCACGTGGCAGTTGAATATGAAATTATCTTAAATATGATTAGACTGTAGTTTACTACAGTGTATAAATAAATATTGATAATGAAAAAAAGTGGAGGGCGCTCAACCAAAGTGCAATCAAATTTTTTTGTCATGATTGAAAAGGAAAAGGTACAACGCGCACATAGGTTAGGCTACTATGGTGAGCGAGTATTGCGCCTTTCCATTTTCAATAAGTATGGATTACCCATTTATTTGTCTCTGCCTGCAAATCGTCCACCTAAAAGGTAGGCTTTATCCTATAGGACTATGCAAAACGTAGCAAGTGTCGCTGTCATCATTCTCGCTGCTTCCAGTTCAGTAGCAACACCTACGAGAACAGGTGCGCGTTCTCAATTAAATAGAGTAGGCTATAGACTATGTATACACACCTATATTTCTCCGTCTGAAAATTTTCCCACTCCTAAAAGGTAGGCTATAAAAATAACTCGAGAGAAAGTGCAAGTCTCCAACTATGTCTAACATATTGGCTGACATAGCCCAGTAATACAATGTAACGACCATGTGAGACTATGGTAATTTAACCTATCTCTGAAGTTATTTTTGCGGATTTGATATTGCCGATAGGGAGCAAAATTGCTGGGACCATGGCTGGCAAGTGAGTTGCGTCACATACGCCTAAAATAACATTGCGAGACTGCGGTTGGGTTTGGACCAGTTCTTGCGACAGCGGGTGCAGGCGGGAGCGGGATGAAGAAATCTGTCTCGCACAACCTCTACTGTGCATCATGACAGTGAAGCCTGTGACGTTAGAGCGGTTTATTACTGTGTCAGTGTGAAAAGTAGGGAATTAGCTAGGGAAACTGACAGATAAATAAAGTTACATTGACATACTGACTAATACAACTCACATTGCACTTAAACGTCAGAATATTAATCTTGACAGGCCAACCTCCCTGTTAAAACTATGAAAGAGATTAAAATGAACTTTTATTGGTAGTCTGGTAAACATTGGTCAATTTGAATTGGTAGTCTGCAACCACAGACCTCAATGTTAACTTTCCTTGCACTGAACATTCCACATTCAATCCATTTAAAATAGTAGTGCAACCACACTTTTACATGTCTTTAAAATTGGAATGTATTGGAGCCAAAACTGGAAGCCATCTATAATTGACAGACAGAATGCAATTTCTGCTTTGGTTAATCCCTATTCAAAATAAAAACGGATGTGCTGATCCACCATGGGCTCTGCCGCATCAGCCATACTGTCAATCTATCATTAATACGTCCACTCCTATTTATAGAGTTTCTCGTGATCTTGACAAAACAACGTTTATGTCGTGATCACAATAAATTGTTTTCGTGATCTCGACAAAACTAAGGAATTTTTATTTATTTATTCCTTCTCTGGACTTCCGTAAGTTGGTGATCGATTTGTAGTTATGATTTTGTGTAATAACTAGCTGGCTAAATAATCTTGAAAATAACGTTTATTTTAGCTATCTTGTCAGTTTGCCTTGTGATTTGCTAACTTGGTTAGCCCACAATCAATGTAATTGAGGATAGCTAGCTAGCTAGCAAACGTTAGCTAGTAGCCTGCTTCAAATTTGCATTAGCTAAATATCGTTAGCGTTCAGTCACTTACCTGGCTAGGTAAACACCATTAATATCTCACTATCTTGCTAGGTCGTTAATATTAACTACAATTGGGCTGAGTGTAGTTAAATACATTGGTCATTGTATCTACATTGCCTGACAGCAAAGTTGTTTGACACAAATCAGATGAACACTTGGTCACAAATGATGTGGTGGGGGGCTTTTTTTGTCTTCAAATGGGTATAGAGTAGGCTACAACCTTTTCGAATCAATTATGGACCTACACTAGAAGAATGCGCTCTTGTTACTGTGGGAAATTATTCTCTTATTTTAGATGTGCTGTTAGCTTAATAAGAAAGCATTCATTATTAAACATAATAGGTTTGTACTGTACTGATATAAATTGGTCAACATAACAAGCTGTGATTAATGAGAGGAACTGTTAGGGCAGGGGTGTCAAACGTCCGGCCCACGGGCCGGATCAGGCCCGCAAACGGGTTTAATCCGGCCCGCGAGATGATTTTGTAAAGTATAAAAATGCGCTGCAATTTTTCAATAAAATAAACTGCTGTTCCAATTGCGTCCACTGGATGGCGCAATAGCAATTGTGTTAAGCAAGCAAACTGTTTATACCGGGGCAGAGCAAGTAGGTCAAGTCTGTGTTTACTCACAGCCGAGACATCAGTGACGCTGCAGTGAAAGCTAGCTACCTCATTGCTAATGAAATCGCAGTGGCTTCAAAACCATTTAGTGAGGGTGAATTTGTAAAAACATGCATGATGAAGGCAGCGGAGATTGTGTGCCCTGAAAAGCGTCAGGCTTTTGTAAATATCAGCCTGACAAGAAACACAGTTGCAGACAGGATTTCCGATCT